GTAGTTTCGAACCGCTGACCCTAAGGTTCGCAGCCCGATTCGTAACCACTACGCTACCAGAGCTCCTTATAGCTACTTGAATAGCAGGTTACAAATGTTTAGAAGATGAGCCAATGGCTAATTCCTCACCAGGTACAGGGCCCATCCTGGAATACAGAAAGTTCTATCTCCTGGTGCTAGAAGCTTCCTATACCTGCACCAGCAGCTCCGCTTCCCACAAACCTGACTCCCAGCACTATCAAGATAAAGCTGTTTGCAGGTGTGCAAGGCAGCTAATCTTTTACCATGGCCTTTCTGAAGCCAAACTTCTCCGTTGTGTGATATATTGCAAATCCTATCATCAATGCTTGTTATTGAGGGCTGGTGTAGGATCTACAAGGTCAGCAGTTCAAACCCACCAGCTGCTCCTTGTAAACTCTATACAGGGTTGCTATGGGTCAAAACTGACTTAACAACACTTAACAACAATGAGCAAAATGGAATCTTGGTTTGGCATTACAGGATAAGCACTGGGCAATGGGCAACCAATCATAAGGTTTGCAGTACAAATCCACCAGCAACTCCTTACAAACCCTATGTTGTTGTTGTTGCTAAGTGCCATTGAGTCAGTTCTGACCCATAGTGACCCTGTATAGGGTTTCTGAAGAGCAGCTAGTAAGCTTGAACCACCAACTTTGCAGTTCAAATGATTTTGCAGTCTGGCGCATTAACCCACAGTGCCACAGTTGAGTGAGCCATTTCCTTTGGCAGTTATGAGTTCAGTGAGATGGAGCGAGTTGCAGAATCCCGGGACATGAAGGAGGGGAGGAGTGGTGATTGGTATCAAGGATTATGGAGTGGTAAGACATGTTGGAAAAGTCAGACAGCTGGAATAGCTTTAACCTCCAACTCCTAAGGACCAGCTTCATGCTAATCTCTCTAAAAGAAATTATTCCTGCAAGGAACTTCTTTCTAAAGCCAACCATACAGCACTTATGTCACTTTGTATAGAAAGTGAATGAAGACACACATCCATTCCTTTAATGTTGTTATTAACTGTCATTGAGTCAGTTCTCACTTATAGTGATCCTGTATAGGGTTTTCAAGGAATGACTCGTGGGTTTGAACTACTAACATTGCAGTTAGCAGTCCAATGCTTATCCTATAGTTCCATATCCAGAGTCCTCTTTAATAGTAAAAGTCTTAGAAATGGGGTATATACAGATGTGTATATATCTATATCCTGGTACCATCAGATGATTTGTAGGCTCTGTGGATGTCAGTCTAATCTATTCGCTAGTTCTCCTGACTGCTCACAAATGACTGATTGCCTTGGCCAGCAAAGCAGGACTCACCATATTCAAATGAAGGACTCTCGTAACTTCTGAAAATTCCCTTTTATAACTTTTGAGGGACTTAAATGACAAGTTCAGAAAGTTTGTGCCAAGTGCCACAGGGTCTTGACAGCTCTACTGGGTGTTATTTCAGAAAACAAACCTATGGATGTAGTAATTCTAAAAAGTTGAGACTTTGCAGAAAATAGGCCAAAATAAAAAAGGCAAAGATGGAGACCTCAGAAAAGTAAACTAGACAATTTTTATTTCTAACTTTAACAAAACAAAACTTAAATTACTAGGAAACTATGTACAGAATTAATCACATTTTGCACATAAGCAGACTGGATGTGACAGGCCCCTTTGGTACCCTGGTTGGAGTAGGCTGGGGAGGTCTGAACCCAATCCACTAACTCCCTGCAGGTTCTGGAGAGAACTCAGCCTCTAGATTACCCAGGCTGTCATTCTCTCCTCTCCAGCCGACACTGAAAACCAAAACCAAGACATCTGAGGTGTGTCAGAGTATCTTGCTTAAAAATAATTATGTGCCTTTTAGTGTTTAAGAAAAAACCATATTCTTTTCTGGGATATCTTTGTAGGAAGTGGTATGATTTTTTTAAAGTCTTAGTTTAAGGGAATATAACCCAGTAAGCTTCTCTCTCCCTAGACCCGCCCCCTCTCATCAGATGTCCATATGGGCTTGTTAGTGGCAGGAATCTGGAGCAGAGGGCTCTGTGAGGCCCACACGGGAATATTCGCAGTTTCACTGGTTCAGCATCCTCTTCCCGTAACTTCAAGTCGAAGCTGGGCCAATGCTTTGGTTCAAAGTGTTTTCAGGAGCATCTTCTTGCTCCTTTTCTGGAAACAAAATGATGGATATAGTGTCCCAGGCATTTTCCTTCAATGAATTGTCCTTGTCCAGGGCCTCCAAAACAGGATGTGCTGGATTCTTTAAATACTTGAAAAAGTTGAAAACCAAAATTGTAATTAGTTTATCAGTTCAACATAGCAGGCCTTTTATTTATTTTTCAATGTTTTACTGTGAATTATGTGATAGTTTACATGGGAGAACATTAGTTTTACATTCATCCTATCGTATATCGTTTCATTGCTATGGCTACAATCCCCTCAATGCATCATCAACCAACCAAAGGGTATACACTACAAGCCTGCCCCCTGGTCGTCAGCACACAGCCCCTCTCCCTCTCTGTGTCTAAAGTCATCTGCTCCATCTCTCCACGTCATCGTCTCTGCCTCCATCTCAGGCATCACTGCTCTCCGCTCTTCTCCCTTGATAGTCCCAGGGACCTCTGCTCCTAGACTGAAGAGTTAATCACTCTCCCCCTTGCTACAAAATGTCTACCTTTACATTTCTAACCCTCACAAGCAGTCCTGATAACAATTATTCACTATTGTATCCGCATTTCATTTCATCAGCCCCGCCTAGACAGACTGGATACTACTGGAGACTCTACCTTCCTCCAGGCCCTCTGGATCTAGGTTCCCTCTTGAAAGCTTGTAAGCCAGTCACTTCTTGCCTTTGTAGCCCCCCCATTTTGAGTAGGCCTTTTGTTTTTAATTGTCAGTTATATTTTGTTCACATATAATTTCCTATTCTAAGTATTGATGAGACAACTTCTAAAACTTAAACACCCCATGACACCCATCATCTCATGAATAATTTTAGTACTACTACTCAAAGGGCCTCTGGTAGCGTACTGGTTACAAATCGAGATGCTAACTTTAGGGTCAGCAGTTTGAAACTACTAGCTGTTCCGCAGGAGAAAGATGAGGCATTCTGCTCCTGTAAAGATTTACAGCCTCGGAAACCCTGTACAGGGTCGCTATGAGTCGGAAACGACTCCACGGCACACAACAACAACTCAAAGGCCCAGCCAAGTGAAGACTCTGAAAGTGTAAACAGGCCTAACTGAGGAGTAACCAGCTTGTTCTGGCTACAATTGGTACAAAAAACAAACCCCAAATGCAAAGTAGCCAGTGAGTCAATTCTGCTTCTTGGAGATCCCACACATTATGGAGGAGATCTGCTGCTTAGGGCTTTTGTGGCTGTGATCTTTAACAGATAGAGATAGCCAGGTCTTTCTTCCATGGCAATGCTGGGTGGGTTCAAACCACCAACATTTAGGTTAATGTTGTTAAGCGCCGTCAAGTCAGTTTTGACTCATAGCGACTCTGTATAGGGTTTCCAAGGAACGAATGGTGAACTTGAACCACCAACCTTACAGTTTAAACCGACCTTGCGATCCAGTGCTTATCCTACAGTACCACATTTAGGTTAATAGTAGAGTACAAATCATTTTTGCCATCCGGGAACCAGCACTGAATGCAGGTCTGTGGATTATTAATCTTAAAACATCTCAAACTTTTCAGTGAGGGAGGCAATAGGACCTCCTATTCACCTAAGAGGGGGAGAAAGAGGGAAAGTTGAGTAGTACTTTTCTCAGCCCTGTCCTCTACATCTTGTTTCTAGCTTTACACAAAACACAGCAAGGAGAGAATGTGGGCATGTAGTATGTTGGCCTGTGAAGCGAGGGAAAGTCAGGAGGATGTGGTCCTCCAGTGCTTAACTTTCCCCTCCTGTCTCTGTGCCTACTTATCCAAAATAGTACAGTTTGTTGTACTGTGGTGTCTTACGTGTTGCTGTGATGCTGGACACTATGTCAACAGTATTTTAAATACAAGCACGGTGACCTTCAGTAAAGCTTCCACACTAAGACTGGGAAAAAGGACCAGGCATCCACTACTAAAAAAACTGGCTAGTGAAGGCTTTATGAATTTATGGCTTTAGTGAAGGCAGAACATTGATACAGTACTGAAAGATGAGTCCCTCAGGCTGGAAGCCACTTAAAATATAACTTGATACATGACTCAAAGTAGAGTAGAATGATGTAGATAGAATAAAGCATTTGGGAGTTTCATTTGCTGATGGTGTACAACTCAAAATGAGAAGAAACAACTGCACACATCTATTGGTAATTCAAATGTGCAATGTACAAAGTGGAGTCCTAGTGTGGCACTGTGGGTTAATGTGCCAGACTGCAAAGCCGTTTGAACTGCAAGGCCGGCAGTTCAAGCTCACCAGCTGTTCCTTGGAAACCCTATACAGGGACGCTAGGGGTCGGAACTGACTGGACGGCACTTCACAACAACAACAACAATGTACATAGTATGAATGTAAGAAAACAGAAAGTTGTCAAAAAATGAAATAGAAGCTTAGGCATTAGTGAGCTAAAATGAACTGGTATTGGCCATTTTAAATATGACAATCATATGGTTTACTATGCCAGGAACAACAAATAGAAGAGAAATGGCCTCACATTCATCATCAAAAAGAGTATTTCAAGATCTATCTAGAAGTACAATGCTGTCTGTGATAACCTGCTTTCTGTACACCTACAAGGAGTCCTGGTGTGGTGCTGTGGGATAAACACTGAACTGCTAACTGCAAAATAGGTGGTTCAAACAAGACGCTTCTTGGAAAACCTACGCAGGGTCTCTGTGAGTCAGAACTGACTTGACAGCACTAGACAACAAGAAGTCAGAACGGTTAAAACCACTATTATTCAAATTTCTGCACTAACCAGTAATGCCCCAAATGAAGAAACTGAAGATTTTACCAAACTTCTGAGAAGTCTGAAATTTTCCACCTTTGAAAAGAAGAATTCTGAAGGTCCCCTGGAATTTTATATTGAGGTTTATAGAATGCTGGACCTAGTGTGCTGTCATGAGCAGGTGGAAACTGTTTTATAAGAATGTCATCCTCTGTAATATGATAATCATATGTCCATCCATAAGGAATTGAGAGGACATCAACTGTTCTGGAAGTTGTAGGTGCTCTTGAAATTTTCAGGGCAAAACTAACTTGTAGTTTTTGTGTGTTTTTTTTTAACATTACTTCCCGGTTCCTGACTTGCCTCCACATTACAGGTATCTGATTGAAGACGTTCCTTAGTCTCCAGTACTTTCTTGTCCACGACACCTATTGTTCTAGGATAAGACTGATCACAATTTGCAGGTCCCGGATTATCTGAAATAAACTTCTTAAAACATTTCTCCTGATATTGTAGACTATTGCCTCCTTTTACATTATACTGTGCTTTTGAAACACTGGAGTTTCCTGGGCCTGGAGCTTCTTTCTCAGTGTTAGAGCCAACAGTAAAAGAACTTCCTATGGTAGCTAAAGAAAGAAATGGTGCATAGACACTGGATGCCTGCTGCTTCAGGAAAGGTACCTGGTAGGACCCAGGACCCACACAGTCCTCAGTGCTGCCACCCTCAGTCAATCTGAATAAGCAAGGGGGCCCGATCATATGGCCTGGGGGAAGCTGGGCATAGAAAATGGCTGAAAACAGGGTGGCTATCATATTTCAGACATTTTGTCAGGAGGGACCAGTCGCTGGAGAAGGATATCATGTTTGGTAAGATGGAGGGTCAGAGAAAAAGAGGAAGACCCCCAATGAGATGGACTGGCCAAGTGGCAGCATCGATGGACTCAAGCGTGGCAACAGTAATGAGGTTGGCCCAGGATCGGGCAGTGTTTTGTTCTGCTGTGCATAAGGTTGCTATGAGTCGGTACTGACTCGATGGCACCTAACAACAACAACAACAACAACAACAACAACAACAACAACAACAAAGAGGCCTGAAAAGCAAAAGGAAGCTGAACCAGTCAAAGGGTGCCTGGGGCAAAACTGCCGTAAATGGATAAACTATTTCATTGGGTCGATCTCGGCACCCACTAATTAGTGTCAGAATCCTCCTATGTTGATTTCTAGCCTGATGGTAAAATGGAGGAAGGAAGCATAACCAAAAAAATGTTCCTAATCAATCTTCAATTAAACAGCGGAGTACTCAGAAACTCCTCTGAGATAAGAGATTAAGCAGTAAGTTTCTGGCACTGGCCCCGCCTACTTCCCCCTCCCTGATAGTATTTTGTGAGATCAATGACATATGCACTGGAAATACCTTTCTTCAACAATATAAATGGTGACTATATATGTGGACCTTGCTAGATGAAATACACAGGAATCAAATTGACTGTATCTGTGGAAAGAGATGATGGAGAAACACAATCTCATCAGAACAAGGCCAAGGGCCAACTGTGTAACAGACCATCAATTACTCAGATGCAAGTTCAATTTGAAGTTGACAAAAATGAAAACAAGTCCATAAAAGCCTAGGTAAAACTCTGCGTATATCCCATCTGAATTTAGAAACCATCTCAAGGACAGGTTTGATACACTGAACAACAATGAAGACCAGGTGAGTTAATGGGATGACAGCAAGAACATATATACATGAAGAACACAAAAGGTCAGTAAAAAGACATGAAAGTTGGTACAACCATTGTGGAAAATTGCAAAAATGAAGGAAGGCCATGTCTGCCTTCCTCTGGTTTCACTAGGGAGATTGAGAATCAAACTCAAAATCAACCCAAGGCTGATTATGAAGTAGAGGTCAGACATGTTTCCACCCTTCAACCTTCTTTATCCTACTCTGGCACCAACCATCCCTCACACAGCATCCTCTGCTTCACATCTTGGCTTGATAATCTGTTCCAAAAGCCACACAGAGCTCAGAGACAATATCCATGAATGTGGGGTTTATTAAGAAAGTGGTGTTGTTGCTAAGTGCCATCAAGTCGGTTCCGACTCACAATGAACCTGTATGGGGCTTCTAAGGTGTGACTGATGGATTGAAATTGCCATACCAGATTCCATTAAAGAAGTGAATAGTAACATCAGGGAGAAATATACTTCTCAGACATCACTTGTATGAGACCAAAAGGGCAGTATTTGCCTCAAAACAAAGCTCAGAAAGCAGGAAGGGACCAGGAAAAACAAACAGAAATGGAAAACATAGGGAGAAAGTGTGAAGAGTGGTCTTACATTGAGGGGGATTGTAAATAATGTCACAAAATAAAATATATATTGTAGAATGGAAACTTATTTGCTCTTTAAACTTTCACCCAAATCTCACACACACACACACACAGATTAAGAAAGAAAGCCAAATTGGATGTCAGAAGAGACTCTGAAACTTGTTCCTTAACATCAAGTAGCTAAAGTGAACAAAATAATGATGAAGCAAGAGAGCTGAAGAGAAGATTTCAAAGGGTGGGTGACTCAGGAAGACAAAGTACTATAATGAAGCGAGCAAAGACCTGGAGTTAGAAAAGTAAAAGACAAAATCAAAGGTTTTAAAAGAAAGAGAACAACATTTATCAAGAACTAAAAGAAGTGAAGAAAAACGCCAAGTCTTGACTTGTAACATTGAAGGGTTCTATGGACAAAATATTAAATGACTCAGGGAGCATGAAAAGATGGAAAAAATACACAGCCACTGTACTGAACAGATCAATGTTCAGCCAGATCAGCAGGTTGTTAGTATATGATCAAAAACTGATGTTATTGATGGAAGAAGTATGTCTCTGAGCTCTGTGTGGCCACTGTAACAGATTATCAAGCCAAGTGTGAAGTAAAGAACGCTGTGGGAGGGATGGTTGGTGCCAGAGTAGGATAAAGAAGGTTGTAGGATGGAAGCATGTCTGACCTCCACTTGGGAATCGTCTTGGGCTGGTTTTGAGTTTGATTCTCCTCCCTAGTGAAGTCAGAGAAGCACAGAAGGGACTGACAAAAAAATTCCCCAAAACAAGACTCCAGGAATGAATAGAATGCAAATTGAGATGTTTCAACAGATGCAATGCTGGAAGCACTCACTCATCTATGCCAAGAAATGTGAAAGAAAGCTACTTGGCCTATAGACTGGAAGAGATCCATACTTGTGTCCATTCCAAAGAAAGGTGATTGTAAATTACCTATCTGTATCATTCAAATAATATGCAAGAAAATTTTTGCTTTAAGGTATTTCAAAAACAGTCGCACAGTTGGATCCACATTACATCGACAGGGAACTTCCAGAAATTCAATTCAGATTCAGAAAAGGATGTGCATCAGGGATATTGCTGCTGATATCAGATGGATATAATCCAAGAATCTAGACCCTATGAAGAAGAATGCAACATCAGGGCTGGAGGAAGGCTCATTAACAAACTGTGGTATGGGAACCATACAGCTTGCTTGCTGAAAGCAAAGAGGACTTGAAGCAGTTACTGATCAAGATCAAAGATACAGCCTTTTGTATGGGTTACATCTTAACAGAAAGCAAATAAAGAAAACCTCACAACTGGACCAATAAGCAACATCACAATAAATGGAGAAAACAGTAACATTTTCAAGGATTTCATTTTACTTCGATCCATAATCATCATCCATGGGAGCAGCAGTCAAGAAATCAGAGGATGTATTATTGCTTTGAGCAGATCTGCTGCAAAAGACCTCTTTAAAATGGAAAAAGGACTAAGATGCACTGACCTAAGCCATGCTATTTTAAAATCACCTCATATGTATGTAAAATCTAGACAATGAATAAAGAAGACTGAATAATTGATGCCTTTGAATTATGGCTTTGGAGAATAATATTAAATATGCCATGGACTGCCAGAAGCATGAACAAAGCTGTCTTGGAAGAAGGATAGCTCGAATGCTCCTTAGAGGTGAAGATGGTAAGACTATGTCTTACACATTTTGGATATGTTACCAGGAGGGACCAGTCCCTGATAAAGGACATTGTGCTTGGTAAAGTAGAGGGCTAGGAGAAAAACAAGACCTCCATGAGATGAACTCACACAGAGGCTGCAATAATGGGTTCAGACAAAGGAAAGATTGTGAAGATGTCACAGGACTGAGCAGCATTCCTTTCTGCTCTGCACAGGGTCACTGTAAGTCAGAACAGACTCGAAGGCCCCCAACAACAAACTCTTAGACGCGCTGAAAGACACTGACAGAGATCTGACTGGTTGAAACAGGAACTAAACACAAATCATGTGCACTTGTGAAACCCTCAAAAGTACACGTGAAACATGATTCATTATTCTCATGTAACGTCTTTGACTTTTGGTAAATATTTTTCACACTTTCCCAGGAAAGTGAACCGAAAGACCTTAAGTTTTAGATTCATGCTAAACACAAGTAGCATTCAGTAGTTACATTTACATATTAGGGCCCTGATGGTAGTCCTACTACTGTGTGACAGAGATTATTAATGCAAGGAAAATTCTGAAGCTTATGGCTTTTGGTGAAAATATTAACTGGGGAAGATTTAGTAGGGAGTTATTTTATGTATTTCACATAATGCCTGTATTTAAATTTATCAAGACAGAGGAAGAAAAGCTTCAGTTCTTATTAGAAGTGACATTTCTCTTTACAGACCTAGTTGTTACCTAAAGAAAAAAAAAAAGCCAAAACAGTTGTTATTGAATTGACTGCGGCGCATGACGACCCCATGTGTGTCAGAGCAGAATTCTGCTCCATTTCAAACTGATGTTTTAGAAGTAGATTGCCAGGCCTTTTTTCTGTGGCACCACCAACGTTTTGGTTAGTATCTCCACCCAGAGAGCCTTATCCAATCTAGATATAACAGAGTAAGATTTTGTTTTCAATACCTTTACACCTATTTTACTAAAGGAACATGAAAAACTCCAGAAGCAAATACTGTTAAATGCACTCTCTAAGCTAGTCGCTAAGGAGCTCTGCTAGCATACTGGTTACGAATTGGGCTGCTAACTTCAACGTCAGTGTTCAAAACTACCAGCCGTTCCATGGAAGGAAAATGAGGCTTTCTGCTCCCATAAAGATGTGCAGCTTCAGAAAGCCTATACAGGCTTGCTATGAGTCACAGAACTGACTCCACAGCACACCACCACCAAGCTAGCCTCTGATCCCAAGAATGTCCTGCCTGAATGCCTGTGTCCTCAGAGGGCCTGGCCTTCTCTAAGAGCCTTGGGGACGGGGGTGGGGTGGTGGTGCAGGAAAACAAGACTGTTTACAAGATCCATCCGTGTTTTTCTTTCTTAAGTCCTTTAGAATACAAGCAGTGATCACTGAGTGTTGTGGTGCCCAGAGCTCTGGTATATAGACTCCTCTGCAGGACCCTCCAAAGGGTACCCTGGCTCACCCAGAGAGAGACTCTTGCTTATGATCTTCTCTGCCTTCACAAAGGGAAGTGTGCCGCCTCCACATCCTGCAGCTGGCGTCCCTGAGGCCTATCCCCAGAAAGAGAGGAACCAGGCACTAAGGAGGGACAGGGACTACAGCAGCCCACCTTTTTTTTTTGGCAATCTTGTATGTCAGAGACTAAATTGTGTTACCCAGACTTTTTGCTTAGGTAGTGCTGAGTTCATGATAATGGTGGTGGATTAATTTGGAAAAGAACAGTAAGAATGGTTGTACAACATGAAGAATATCATCAATGTCACTGAATTATACAGGCAGAAACTGTTGACCTGGAGAATGTTTTGCTTTGTACAGTTTTACCACAATGGAAAAACATTTTTTTAATAGGATTAAACTTTAAGTATTCAAATTAAATTAAATTTAAAAAGGTTTTTAAAGTTGCATCCCACTAAAATATCAGTTGGAGCCCTAACCCCTGTACCTGTAAACATAACCTTGTTTAGGGAAGCAGGATCTTTCTTTGACGCTGTTGTCAGTTAAGTGAAATGAGGTCACAGGGGAGTAGGGTGGGCCCTAGTCCTAATTCCTCCTGAGTGTTGTCTTATAAAGGGAGAACAGTGATGGAGGCCGAGTCACACATCAGAAGGGAGACACATGGAAGATGCATCTATACAAGAAGCAGACAAACACCAAGGACTGCCGGCAGCCACCCCACCAGAAGCCAGGAGAGAGCCCTCAGGAGGAATCAGAACAACCAGTACCTTGAATTTGGACTTCTAGCCTCCAAACCTGTGACGCAATACATGTCTGCTCTTTAAAGTTGACCACGTATTGTATTATGCAGTCCTAGGAAACTAAGACACTGTGCTATCTTCAACTCAATTCTCTGTGTCCAGTGCTTTGTCTACTACTATACTCTGAGATGTGATGGCAAGGGGATAGTGAAAGGAGGGAGGAAAGTGCACAGCGATACACCTACATGTCACTCCTTCAGATGTGGGCACACATACCTCTTCTATTTGTAATGGGATCTGGGGTGGAGAGTGAAACCAGTATTTAACCAGTCCTCTGTATTTCACCATGACGATATAGACTCCCATCAGCACTACCGCCAGCAGAAAGATTCCCACAACGATCAGGAAGTTTTGTTGAAATTTAGTAGTAGCTAAAAAGATGACATAAAAATGAAAAAAATGTGATTATACACACACGATACAAACATCTGCTAGTTTTTCACCTACCATTAACTTCCAGAGTATTCATGTCCCAGTGAAATGGACACATACCCCTCCCCCACAAGTTGTAAAAGTAATGGCTCATCCAGGCAATCAATCCTGTAACTTGCTGTTTTAAACTACTATCGGTCATGCTTCTATAGTGTTCAGCATCAGCTCATTACTCCGAAAGGTAAGTGCTCTCCTCTCAGCCCCTTCTCAGTGTCTTCTTGTCCCACCACCCTTTATTTAGTAAGCATTCCCAACTTAGAAAAGACATAAAAAGGATGCTTTACCATCTGCTGTTGTCTTGTAGCAAGATGTGTTGCTTAAACAACCAGGTTGAAAGATGTGTTGTAATTTCCACACCAGTTCTGCCTTGACTTGTAAACAGTATACACTGAAGGGTTGTAAGTCATCCAACACAATGAAATTGTTCTCAACAGGGCCTTTCCTCTAGTTAAAAGACACCAACAACCACAAATGTAAGTCACTGAAATAGACATGTTCACGCTACTTCCATCTTTTCCAATGTTGTTGCTGAGTGCCGTCGAGTCGATTCCAACTCATAGTGACCTTATATAGGGTTTCCAAAGAGCATCTGGTGGGTTTAAACTGCTGACCTTGTAGTTCACAGTCCAGTGCTGATCCTACAGCCACAACAGGAGACGTCGCCTCAAATTCACAAGTAATACAGTCAACTAGAGGCTAAGGAGATGTGGTTCTTCAGGGGTCCCTGGATGGTGATGTCAGTGGAGTGAAGATAGTGCCCATGCTAGACAGTTTCTGGCTGTGAGGCCTCAGAGAGCCCACTGCAGCAACCAGCCAGGACTGGAATACCACAAGTCTTGATTTCTAGCCTCCAACTTTCTCCTTCACAAGATAACGCTGTATACTTCAGAGTTAGTCCTATCTAGATATTTTCAGCCAACAGAGAAAATTACTCTAGAAAATAATTTTCAGTTCATTCCCAACCTGCTTCTAGTTTTAACTGAAATTGCTCTTATCATTTTAATTTAATATATATAATTTCCAAAGTGACTCATGTCATTAGGAAGGAGCTATGCCCCAAGCCCTCGACCTCCCCTGCTGCTGTCCTCCAGCGGGCCTTGCTGTCCCCACAATACTTACTTGTGTTACTCTTGTTCTTGACACAACTGTCATTGTTCAATAGAGAAATGAGAAACAGATATGAGAGCTTTAAAAAAATTCTGTTTTTCCATGAACTTTATGATGCCTACTCATATACTGCATGATGACAGTATAAAATTTTTTGTAAAGGACTTTTATTTTTTTCCTTTTGAGATGCACTAGAATATGCTAGAGCCATTTAAACTGGTGGTCTAACATACACTCAACAGGGAAAGATGAAGCTATTATACTTCTGACTGAACAAAAAAAGCTGGTTATTCAATAGTACGAGGGAGTTTCAACAAGTTCATGGAAAAATGAACTTAAGAAGATAATGGGAATTTTCCACTAACTTTTTGAAGCTTCCTCATATGTACAGCATGGTCTTATTTTCTAAAATATAAATATAGCTGCATTATCTATGAAGCATAGGGTAATAGATGCTGACATTTTCTTTGCGTTTTTATTTAATGATAATGGACTGTTGTTGTTAAGTGCCTTTGAGTCGGTTCCGACCCATAGCGACCCTGTACAGGGTTTCCGAGGGTGTAAATCCTTACGGGAGTAGAAAGCCTCATCTTTCTCCCGCGGAGCAGCTGGTAGTTTCGAACTGCTGACCTTATGGTTCGCAGCCCGATTCGTAACCACTACGCTACCAGAGCTCCTTGATAATGGACTACCAGGGCAGATTTATTATTTTTTTTGCTTATGATGCTGCATAAAGCAATTTCAAGGAAACTGTTCCCTTTGACATAGTGTCAGCAGCCAGTTAGTATATCTGAGATTTAAAAAATTTTAAGCTGTACAGAAGAAAAGAGCATAGTTTAAAATTGCACTCCTTATAAAGGTCTGCTTGCGAGGTTGGTCCTTAGCTGGCATCTGGGAACTTGAATTTTAGGAATGTTCCCTCCATTCCCTAACTGATAAGGGTAGCTCACTGTGCCTACAGTGTTTGTTCAAACAACGTGGTAGGCCAAACACCTGTTTTCTTTCTGTGAGTCTGAAATTTTGGTATATGCTAGGAAGAAGGACTCCCCCCAAAAAGGGCACTGACCTCCAATGAGCTTCCCTGGCAGACGTCTCATGTGTGTTGTTGGAAGAATGAAGTAGGTTTTGTGTGATTCCACTGGGAGAGGACTTTTGGAAGCTTTCACCTGAGTGCCTTCACACTTTGCCTCATGCACCTGTTCCCTTTGCTGAGTTTACTTTGTATGTCTTCACTATTACACAGCACAGTCACAAGGACAATGCTTTGCTGGGTCCTGTAGGTTCTTCTAAGAAAATGCTGGACCTGGGGGCAGTCTTGATGACTCCTGCCACACAGACTCACAGCAGAAACAGGTCATGTTGGTGGCTTTCCAAGTCGCTGTAACTCTAGAGCTAACCATGCAAACCCAGGGGTAGATGCTCCAGGTGAAAGAGAGAAAGGAGTCTGAGGTACACATACTTGCTCCTCCCTACAAGTTCCAACTCAATTGTTAGGTTTTATACAAGAGGAAATGATGCCTCAGGGGGGTTAGTGACATGGAACTAAGCAAGTTCCAGGTCCTAGAAGCACAGTCCCTGTATTTTGCATTAGAACACACTGATAAAACAGTTCTAGAGGCCGAACCCTCCAACATTAGACAGCTGTGCCCGGTTCTAGGCTACCAAGAGTGGGTGGACTCCATCATAAGAAAACAAAAGTATGGATAAGGCCTGGGGAGGGAAGCACTGTAACATGTGACTGGTGCTCGCAGCCTAGAAGCAGACCTCCCACACTATGTCTCATCTCTAAGTGAAGTCCCAGATGCGCAGGGGAGAGGCAGCCACCATTCCCTTCTGCATTCTGCAAGGCTCTCTTAGTAGCAGTTGACCCAGCTCAGGCGCTGCTGCTTTGGGGAAACAAGCATTTCCTTATGTCCTCTATGCTTTAGTTTTGTCTTGCCCAGTGTTTTGAGACTTACCCAAAAGGAACCAAGAGAAAATGCAAATATAAACTGTGTGACAGGAAAATATGGTGGTTAGGAGAATGAAGCCTGAGGCTGGACCTCTTCTGCCTCGTGCCAGCTGACCTTAGACAAATTCCTGACCACCTGGTTTCCCTTTTAGGAAAACAGGTTGTGATAAAGATTGGATGAGATGATGTAGCTAAAACACCTGGCCCAGTGTCACATAAAGAAAGCTTTCAATAAACGTAAACTCTTATTAGTACTAAAAATTATAGTCATGTTGAGTTCAGGCAATTGTGAATTTCACATGGTAATAAAACCTCATTTAGCTTTGTACATAGTCCTGGTGTGGCACTGTAGCACTGGACTGCTAACCTCAAGCTCGGTAGTTCAAATCCATCAGTTGCTCTTCGGAAACCCTATATAGGGTCACTATGAGTCAGAACTGACTCGATGGCACTAAACAATAATGCAAGCTTTGTATAGGTTGGATAACCAGGAACTCGAGATGACTAAAGGCAACCATCTTTTTCTTGTTTCATCTAAAGCTGACCAGGCTTCTTTGATCTGAGCTACCTTTGTCAATTCTCTCTCCTGCCATCCCTTGACGTGGCCTGCACTTCTGATAGATCAAAACTCTGTAGTTCTCCAAATGAGCCAGGTCTTCTCTTACAGGCATCACTTCTCCCTAAAATGCTCTGTCATCTTCATCTATGTGCATATGGCCTCTTTGTGAACAGTTCAAACCAAAGAAATGCATACAGTACACCCTGCAGATTATAGTGGTGGATTCTCTGTTGTATGACTATAAATATAAATAGTCCCACACTGAAATCTCCCCCTAACTCCAGAGCCTGACAAAAGTCACATAAGTCACACATCAGCAACATTGGGACCCCAAACCCAAAGGGTGTGATGGCAGACCAAGAGGGGCCTGTTGGATTGATCTGGCCAAAGGGAAGTCTCCCTCCACTGTGGAGAGAAACAGGACTGAAAAGGACTCGAATGGACTCGGGTCTCAGACTTCAAGGAAATAATGGGAGACTCCAAGGAAATATTCTCCTTGCCCGTTTGAAAATTTACTTTCTTCTACTAAATCAGAAACTCTAAAGAAAAGGAAATAAAAAAAATCAGAAAAATGCGCTTGCCTTTTGGGTTCCGCCCTCTTCCCAGTAAAAGACAAAATACTGAAAAGTGACCATGGAGACATCAACGTTAAAGGGAGCGGAGACCCAGATGATAAGTGAGCCTTCTCCTGGTGTCACCTTGATTTCTGGCGGCCCGATGGTAACTGAAATAGAATAAAAAACATCCACATGTATTTATTAGTATTTATATATACATTGAGTTGCTTTTCAACTTCCACAAAGTATTCAGACACTGAAGATGACCCAGGCTGCTCTGGGCACCAGGTTTACTTGTTAGGAGTCAGGACAGGGAACCCAGTGTAGCTGCAGGCAGCACCGGGGTATCTTTTTCTTGGAAGGAGGGATTCTCTTGGCAGTGCACATGGTAGCCCATTGTGAGATTCTCTGGCCTCCAGAAGAAGTTCAGGTGCCAGGAGCAGTGATCCACATTCGGCAGGTACAGGGGCATCTGGAGTAAGTGACAAGAACCAATGTCTTGTATAACAACTCCACAGAAAGAGTTCCCAGGGTCCCCACAAGGGACATGCCCAGCTACAATAAACACAGCCGCACTCAACAAAGCTCCAAGATATGACTCCTACCAGGTATTTCAAATTCTCTCAGGTCAAAGGCAGCAGAAGCATTTTCACCATTAGCAGTGGAGCCTAGTAACATGGGCCACATGACATCTTGACCAGATTTCCAGCGAAAGAGAGTTGGAAAGTTAACCTGAGGCCACATTTTCATGAAGAGGGGAAAAGATTTTGCTGGGTGTGGCGCTGTGGGTTAATGTGCCATACTGCAAAGCCATTTGAACTGCAAGGTTGGTGGTTCAGGCTCACCAGCTGCTCGTCGGAAGCCCTATACAGGGTCTCCATGGGTCGGAGTTGATTCAATGACACTTAACAATAACAACTCACAATATATGAATCAAATTTCAATATATATGAGCAAAAATGGTATTTGTAAATCTTTAAATGGCTCTGTGTCTAGCTTAAATCTTTTAGGATTTTATATATGTCTCCCCATTGCCTTCTTCCCTACATGGTTTCTGTTGAGAGATCTGAGCTTAAACTGATTTGCTTTGCCTTTGTATGTTACACTTGTCTTTTCCCTAGCTGCTTTCAGGATTCTGTCTGTATCTTTGATTTTGGAGAGCTTGATTATTATATGTCTTGGTGATTTTTTATTAGGGTCTATCCTTCCTGGGGCTCGTTGAGCTTCCTGAATGCTTATCTTTTCACTTTTCAGGATGTTAGGGAAATTTTCTACCTGTAGCTCTTCAACTGTCTCCTCTGTGGACTTGTGTGATTCTTCCTGTTCCGGAATGCCGATAATTCTTAAGTTACTCCTCTTCATGTTATCCAATATGAATCTTAGGCTTTCTTCAGATTTTTTAATCTTTTGGATTGTTCTTCTATTGTTGTAGTGTTGAGAGATTTATCTTCTAGTTCACTAGTTCTGGCTTCTCTTTCTTCAATTCTACTCCTTTGCTCTTTCAGTGTATTGTCCATTTCTGATACTCTAATATTAATCATTTGGACCTCTTTCTGTAGTTTAAAATTTTTTTTAATGTTTTATTGTGAATTATGTGATATTTTACTTGGGAGAACATTAGTTTTACATCCATCCTATCGTATATCATTTCATTGCTAGGGTTACAATCCCCTCCATGCATCATCAACCAACCAAAGGGTATACACTACAAGCCTATCTTTCTGTAGGTTTTGAATTGTTTCCAATGCTGTATCTATCTTATTTGATTGTTCCTGTAGTGCTTTCCTGACTTCTTCCTTATTTTTCTCAACTCCATTGTATAGTGTTTTGAAACATTTTATAATCAGTTTCTGAATTCCTTCTCTGGCATTTCCAATACCTGTCCATCTTCCAGTACGGAGTGCAGGTCTACTTCCAGCTCATTTGCCTTAGTCACTTTATCTCGTTTCTGGACATGTGCTGATATGGTCATCTGTTTCCGTTTTTTTTGGTATATTCAGGAGTTATCTGTGTCCTTAATACTTAGATGGGTGAGTATTTTGGTATTTTTTTTATGCTTTCTGATTACCTCCAGGTAGATGTGATCAGGGGATGGGCTTCCCTTTTCACTCTTATTCCTTAGAAATTTCAAGATGCCACTGTTGGTCGTTGTGACTTAACTCAGGATTTAATTTTCAGCCTATTTCCTTTTTAATCTGCCTGTCCCACTCCACAATCCCTGTCTAGGCCTTTTTCCTAGTGATAAACAGTTCAGGGCTGGCTGTGGCCATTTTGCAGTGCCATTTGGTTTTAAGTGGAAACTGTCATTTTTCGAGATCTGTGTGCATGCATAGTAGAACCCTCCGGGGGCTGGGGTGAGGTGTCCACTCACTCAGGCACCCCCTCTAGTCACCAGAATGGAGGTGCACAGCCAGTAAGAGACCAATGAACAGACACACACAAAAAAAGAATGTCCACACCTTTATCTCCGTTGTTCTGTCAGGCATCCAAGGCTGCCCTGATCCTTCTCACGCTCGGTCTCGCCCAAGATGGCGGCTCCAGTAGCAGCTGAGTGTCTTGAATTAGAAAGCAATGGATTGCTTCTACTACAAATTCCCCCAGCTGTAAGCCTTTCAACCTTCTAGATATTCCTTTATGTGTGGTTCAGAGTTCTGGCACCATCCTGAGCCTACTTGGTCTGGTATTCTGTGTTGTTGCTGACGGAGCTCCTCACTGCACTTCTACCTGATCTGCCATCTTGTTTGTTCTCTCTAATTTAAATCTAGTACTAGGTTTGAACATTAGATCTGAGAAACAGGAATTAAAGCCTGGTGATCTAGTTCTGAAAAGTTAAGGCATTGAAAACGCCTATGGAACACAGTTCTACTCTCTCACACACAGAAGCACTGTGAGTCAAATCCATTTGACGGCAGCTAGTCACGTCTTTTTGGAGTCCTGGTGTGGCGCTGTGGGCTAATGCTTCAGACTGCAAAGTCATTTGAACTGCAAGATCGGTGGTTCAAGCTCACTAGCTACTCCTTGGAAACCCTCTATAGGGTTGCTATGGGTAGGAACTGACTCGACGGCACTTAATAATGACAACAAGTTACGTGTTTTTGGTAAGGCTTTTCATGTAATTCACAGGACAGCCAAGGACTTTGACTCATGTGCTATAAGGAAAAAGTGGCAGTATTTATCAAGTAAGCATCTACATTGAATAATTAATCCAGGGAACTCAGATCAGAGTATAGGTTGGGCACTACAAGTTGTAAAAGAACTCTCTACACATGCAGATGGTCATACTAGTGACTCATTAATTGCTTGAGAGGGCTTTAAAAAGTTCACGGAAAAATTCCATTATCTTTTCATTCCATTTGTCTATGAATTTTTTGAAGCACCCTTGTGTTCTCAAGTGTAGCCATCTTTTTTCACATGACAAGGGGCAGGGGATTATGGACGTCAGCCAGGCCTAATCACTGAACTGCCAACTGCTAAAAGACCTGCCCTTCTGAAGAGTCTCGGATAAAAGAAGCTGTGCCAATGTAGATAACTGTGGCCAATGAAGTCAATCAATATGCTAGTATCCCATCTGGCACAGAGCTTAGCAAACATTTTCCAGTATTTACGGCCAGAGAGTACATTTAGGCCAGGTGGTTTCAGGTACAACGGCTCAACTCTTCATGTTACAGGTGATTGTAACATGAAAGCAGCCCTAGGCAACAACAGGGTGACAAATGGCTACACCTGTATTCTAAGAAAACTTTATTTACAACAGTAGGCAGTGGCTGCATTTGACCCGCAGCAATCTTTTGCCGACTCCCAGTCTGGCAAATCATGTTCCACTGGCATCAGGCTCCAAGGCAGGTACTAGGGTTTCACCAGCCACCAATTGTTTGCTGGGTATTTTGGGGAAGAGTTGGGACAGAGGTGCTTGGAATTGATACTGTTCATTGTAAGAGGAAAGGAGAGAAAAAAGCAGACACTGTGAAGGAGTCTTGGTGGCGCTTGGTGGATTGCTAACTGCAAGGCTAGCAGTTCAAACCCACCAGATGCTCCAAGGGAGAAAGATGAAGCAGCCTGCTCACGTAAAGTCTTGGAAACCCTACAGACTCACTATGAGTCGGAATCAACTTGATGACAATGGGTTTGGTTTTGGGGTTAGGCAGGAAGTTTAACACCCAAGGGCTCTCACCATTCCGGTAGTGTTGAAACCAAGGCACGGTTGCCCAGGCGGAAACGAGTTCTCCCAACTCAGCTCGAACACGCAAGGAGACATTGAAATGCCGTGGAAAACCCTGGGAAGGGTTGGCTGCCGTGAAGTTGCACACTGTGAGCATTGTACAATTCACCTCTGACACTTCTTCCCACTTATTATCGGTGCTGGAAAGGAAAAAGGATTTCAATTCACAATTCTCTCTCATGGATAACAGTTTGCCCAGAGCTGATTTTCCTGGAATGGCGATAAGTCACATACCATACAACTCACTGGAGTCCCTGCGTGGCAAGAGTTAGGCACACAACCACTAGTCCAAGGATTGGAGGTTCAAACCCACCCAGAGTACTTTGGAAGACAGCCCTGGTCACAGCCTTGAAACCTCTATGGAGCAGTTCTACTCTGCACACATGGGCTTGCCAGGATTTGGAATCCACTTGGTGACAATTGACAACATACAACTGTATAACTCAATTGTCTTTAGTATATATTCATAGGGTTTTCCAACCATCACCACAATCAATTATAGAACATTTCATCATCCCCCAAAGACACTCTGATCTTAAAATTCCAAAGTCATCTAGCAGTCCATGTTTTGGAATGGTACTGTGCTAAAACTGCAAACTTCCTTCTAGTGGGGAGTTAGGTTCATGATACAGGTGTCCATTTAAAGAGGATTTTCCCACATCCATATAAAAATCCTGCCAAAAACACAGCCACATGGCTTGTCAGTGAACATGCATTCCCCAGAGTAGAGACACCACATCTCCACATTGGATTCTAGTCCCCAGCTCTGACCACCATCCTTCTTAGGTGACACACTTGAGAAAAGACAGGTGGCTGCTAGGAACTGCAGCAGGGGGTAGCGAGCAGCTTCTCCTCTAGGGACAGATGGACTGCTTCTTCCAAAAGTGTTGATGGTAGATTCAAGTAAAATGAAATCCTTGACAACTTGTTTTCTCCATTATCCTAATGTTGCTTATTGGTTAGGTTGTAAGATTTTTCTTCTTTATGTTAACATGTAATCCATATTAAAGGCTGTACTGTTTGAATCTTATCAGTAAGCGCTTCAAGTCCTCTTCGCTGGCCTTCAGCAAGCAAAGTTGTGTCATCTGCATATCACAGATTATTAATGAGCCTTCCTCCAATTCTGATGCTGCATTCTTCTTCAGGTTGTCCAGTTTCTTGGATTATTTGCTCAGCATACAGACTAAGTATGGTGGAAGAATACAACCCTGATACACACTTTGATTTTAAACCATGCAATATTCCCCTTGTTCTGTCCAAACAACTGCCTCTTCTTGGTCATGTAAAGGTTCCACATGAACATAATGAAATGTTTTTGAATTCCCATCATTTACAAAGTTATCCATAATCTGTTAAGATCCTCACATCTGAATGCTTTGGCACAGTCAATAAAACACAGGTAAACACCTTTCTGGTATTCTAATGCTTCTTGGTCATTGTGGTACAGTGAATTGATTTATTATGTCTTTTCTCTGTAACTCCCATCAAATGACTGGGTGGAAGCACACAAATAGGGCATATGGGACTCTGATGCTGGGACTGTTGAGGAGTTTTGCCATCCTTCTGGGTTTAAAAGGAGCCTTTTCAGAAGCAGGAACAGATGATGATCCCAGGACCATCAAGAAAGAAAAGTCACATGTGGAGTGTGAGATCCCAGCCTAGAAAAGTGATTGTAACATGAAAACATGTAACAGAGGCAGTGGCATAGAGACAGAGTGGCAGGCTTCCCGGACCACCCACTGAATGAGGTGGAGTGGCTCCCAGGAGGACGCTGACTTGCAGAATGTGCCCTTTGGGCATTTATAGGCGGTATTCAAAGAGCTTTGTAACACTTAACCAAGCAGAGCAGAGGCCAAGGGGCCTAGTGACTAAGAAGATGAAGATAAGAGAGAAGTGTGCCTACAGTAGGATAAGAGGCATTCCTGACTGGAGAACTGCTGCATTCTGAGTTGTTTCTGATCCTGAATTGTACCATTTACTTCCCTAATAAACCCCATAATGGTGAGTATTATCAGTGAGTTCTGTGTTGCCATTGCAACGGATTATCGAACCCAGCAGAGAAGTCGGATGCATGACTGGTGTCAGAAAAGGGTATGGAAGGCTACACGGTGGAGGAGTGTCTGACGGCTGCCTTATAGCAATTAACCTGGGGCTCATTCTGAGTTTGATTCTCCTTTCCCCTAGTGGAGCCAGAGGAAGTCAGACACGGCCTCCACACCATTTTTGCAGTCATCTGTCAGTTGTTCTACCACAGTGGCTTGTGTGTTACTGAGATGTTGGATACGATGTCACTGGTATTTGAAATTCCAGCAGAGTCACCCATGGTGGACAGGTTTCAGTGGAGCTTCCAGATGAAGGCAGAGTGAGAAGGAAGACTTACTGATCTACTTCAGAAATAACTGGCCAGTGAAAACCTTTTGGATAGCAGCACAAACTGGTTAAGAGGCAATACCTACTAGCTGGCCCTACGGCTCCATGCCAGCTCCTCCCAACTCCCAGCAAGGATTCCAACAGAGACAAGGGCTTACTATTTATACTGCACCCGGTAGGCCACCGGTCTCGAGTCATTGCTCAGGGACACCGGCTCCCAAGTTAGAACCTGCTCCGCGTTGTACAGGTGAATCTTCGGGTTTTGAGGAGCAGGCAGCTGGGAAAGAAAGGCTTGAGAGGGTCAGAGAAACAAAGGAGGGTTGGGAGAGAGAGATGGAGGAGAAAAAGGAGAAAATCAATTATAAAAATACTTAAATGCATACTACCTAAGTCATTCTTCATAACAACTCAATTTTTGTCAATTGACAAATTGACAAAATTTTGTCTCTCTGGGTCCAATTTCTACCCCACCTTTAACTAAAAAGAGAGCTACTAACATATTGTTGTTGTTAAGTGCCTTCCAGTTGGTTCTGACTCATAACAACCCTGTATAGGGTTTCTAAAGAGTGGCTGGTGGGTTTGAACTAATAACTTTGCAGTTAGCAGTCCAATGCTTATCCTACAGGGCCACACCAGAAGTCGTGCTACTGACATATTGTTAAGTCCCATCGAGTAGGTTCTGATTCATAGCGACTCCTGTATAGGGTTTCCGAGGATCGGCTGGTGAGTTTGAACCTTGGACCCTGAAGTTCAACCTTGAGGTTGAGTATTTATACTCTATGGTGCCACACCAGGTGGTACACATAGTCATTAGAAAAAAAGAGTACCTTGAGCAGCTTTTCTGCCTGCAGCTTCTAATCCTTAATGACTAGGCCCTGGGCATTGTTCATGCCCTATAGAACCACCATGAACACCAGTACCCTTCCTTTCCTTCAGGAGACCATGAAGAAAGCGCCTCAAGCCACACCTCCAGTGCTGCTCAGGACTGGGGAATACACTGAAAGCACAGTTAAGAAAACACTGTCTGATGACACTTTCCCTGAGATTGAAAGATTAATGAGAAGCACCCAGAAGGTAGAAAAAAGAGTTTGAAGAACATGCTGCCTCCAGACTTCAAAGCAGGAAATTCAAACCACAAGTTTTCAGTAAATGCATCTAATCTTGAAGAATGGGCCCACAGTGGCCTGCAAGGGGTAAACAGTCCTTCAGCAAATCAGCAAAATGCCTAACTTGGAGTCTGGGGACACCTGTTAACTCACAGAATGCCTAATATCTCTACATCGAGGAGCTCTGGCTGATCTTCATTCTGGATCTTTCTTCAACCAGCCAACCAACTCCTCTCCAGGTCCACACCAGGCCTCTCAGGCAGCCTGGGCCACAGGTGGGCAGATGAGTGAGGCAGTGCAGACGAGAGAGGCTGCTCTTCTTGGGTGGGCCTGTCTCATACACTGTGCTGCAGCTCATCCCCAAAGTGGGCTGAGAGCTGCAGATTAGCTTCCAGACAGGGCAGTACAATGCTTGGAGGGCAGAGGGGAGGGGAACATGCATCAAAGAACTGCAGAGTTCATCTTACTGCCTTGCGTTAGTTCCTTATTGCTGCTGTAAAAAAAGCAAAAACCTTTTGAAAATTAAAAAAAGAGTTGCTGTTGAGTCAAGTCAGACTCACGGCAAGCCTGTGTGTGTCAGAAAAGAACTATCTTCCTACGTGTTTTCAATGACTGATAAGAGCTCTTTCAAGGCACCACTGTTGTTGTTGTTAAGTGCTGTCGAGTCGGTTCTGACCCATAGCGACCCTGTACAGGGTTTCCGAGGGTGTAAATCTTTACGGGAGTAGAAAGCCTCATCTTTCTCCCGCGGAGCGGCTGGTAGTTTCAAACCGCTGACCTTAAGGTTCGCAGCCCGATTTGTAACCACTACGCTACCAGAACTCCCTTAAGGCACCACTAGGTGGGCTCAAACCACCAACATTTTGGTTAGCAGCCTAGCTCATTAACCATTTGCATTATTAACCAAAACAATACAATGAACAACTCCCCCACAAAAGTACCTCCAAAAAGCAACACAATCCTGGTGACATCTTGATTTTAGCCCAGTGAGACCCATTTCAGATTTATAAAGACCCATATCAGACTTGTCACCTCCAGAACTATAAGATAATAAATTTGTGTTGTTTTAAGCCACTGAGTTTGGGTTATTTGTTAAAGTAGAAATAGGAAACAAATGCAGTCCCTATAGGTGGGCACCAAGGGTTTCAACGACGCCCCAGGTCCTACAAGATAAAAGCTCTCCTTAGTAGAATATACAAAGCCTCACTCTACCTTCTTCTTGGACTTTGAGCAATGATTCATAAACTCTTAATGATACTAGAGATTACCTACGTGTACTGTCTATGAAACGTGTCCTCTGTACTTCCCAATCACAGCTTCTTTGAGGCCACCGCCCACCATCCTGGATTCACCTTGAATCCAGGTGATTGGACTTTACACATATGAAGGTAAGTAAAAAAGTTGTTGTCAAGTGCAGTCGAGTTGGTTCCAACTCACAGCAACTCTGTATAGGGTTTATGAGGAGCAGCTGGTGAGTTTGAACTGCTGACCTTGTGGTTCGCAGTCCAGTGCTAATCCTACAGTGCCATACTAGGAATCCATAAGTAAAAAAGTAGCGCTATAAAATCATAGAAACCTTTACTAAACAAATACATCAACATGTGAAACCATTGTTTTACGATGTACCCTCCCATCTAGGTCTACACACTTCTGAAGGCGGTGTTTTCTCCCTCTCTCTGTCCCTCTTCCAGAGACTTCTGTGCTCTTCAGTTAACATCTTGTCAAAACAGTTTTGGAACCCTTGAGTGATTCAAATCATGTCTCTTTTAAATGTTCTTTGAGTTTTGTAAGCAAAAAGAGGTCTATAGGAACAAGATCAGGGCTTCAGGGTGGATGAGGGAAGGTTTCCTGGACATTCTCCTAAGACAGCCCTTCCTATTCTCAAAGATTATGCAAGGGGTATTGTTATGATGGAAGAACATTCCTCAGCCCAACTTTCTTGATCTTTTTCCTCACTAGTGCAGTTTTCAATATTCTTAAAATCTTTTCATAGTAGCCCCTATGATCGTCCTGTATCCTTCTTGAAAATCTATCATTATCCTTTGGGGGTAGTCACCATAACCCTCTAAGCTGACTGCTCTGCCCTGAATTTCATTAGACCAACAGATCCTCTCAGAAGTCATTGTTTTGACCAGACCTTAGTTTTCAGAATACACCTGAAGTCCTGCTGTGGCGCTGTAGCACAAGTGCAGGACCGCAAGGTTGGCAGTTCAAACTCACTAGCCGCTCCTTGGGAACCCTATACAGGGTCGCGATGAGTCAGAACCAATTGGATGGCACTTAACAACAACAATTAGACAAAGACAAGTGTATTACTGAGAGAACTTGTCGGCAGTCATCCACTAACTCAGACACGCTTAAGCATTTTGCTTAGAATAAACCCGTGCACGTATGAACTGGAATCCTAGTGTCAACAGCATAGTCAGGTTCACATATGTCACACACGGATAATAAAATAAAACAAACAGTAGAATGAATCATGTCATCTTTGACACCAAAGACCTTTCAAGACCTTTCCGTGATTGGGGGCATTATGATGAATGCCAGTTATCCCACCTCTGCCACTTTGGCAGGTGGGGAGAATTAAAAATACATTCTTTATACCAATCATCAACAGGAAGTTAGTCTCTTCAATAGATACTGATTTGCCTTTTCCCATTACCGGAGGGCTGTTTCCTTGGGAGTAAAGAGGTGATACTACCCACTTCAAAAGAATGGTTGAGAAAATTGAGAGATTGTATATATAAAGCACTTAATCAATTTATCCTAAAAGAATAGCCCTAAAAAGACAGCTATTATTATCTACACTTACAGAATTTGCCAAAAACATTCTAGCTACTTGATAGTTTCAATTGTTGAGATTATAGACAAACAGGAGTTTACCAAATATACATCCATCTGTAATTTTTATGTTTATTACTGATTTTCTTAGTGATTTCTAAACACATTTACAGTTCTGGTATGGTGCTGTAGGATAAGCAATGGACTGTTAACCATGAGGTCAGAGGTTTAAACCCACCAGCCAGCGGCTCCCTGGAAGCCCCTTACAGAGTCGCTATGCATTGGAACCAATTTGACGACACTTAACAACAAAAGCACATTAGACTCTTTGGATGTTCAAGTTAACAAATAATGTTACACAACAAACTTCTGTTGCACAAGTAGATAACTATTCAATCCACTGGAAAATTAAGCAGCTAAAATGATACAGAGTCTTACCACTCATATAACTAAGGGATTCAAGTGTCCATTTTCTTACTTCTCTTTAGCACTGTTGTTCTGTTTTCTAGTTAATAAAGCAATGCCTACCACCACTTATAGGAGTTCTGGTGTGGTGCTGTGGGTTAATGTGCCAGACTGCAAAGCCGTTTGAACTGCAAGGTTTACAGTTCAAGCTCACCAGCTGCTCCTCAGAAACCCTGTACAGGTCGCTATGGGTTGGAGATGACTCAACGGCACTTAACAACAACAACTACCACTTAAAAAGGAGCTCTGGTAGCGTAGTGGTTACGAATCAGGCTGTGAACCGCAAGGTCAGCAGTTTGAAACTACCAGCTGTTCTGCTGGAGAAAGGTGAGGCTTTCTGCTCCCGTAAAGATTTACAGCCTCGGAAACCCTGTACAGGGTCACTATGAGTCGGAACCAACTCCACGGCATATAACCATCACCACTTAAAAAAGCACTGCTACAAATTGGCTTAGGTCCAGTATCTTATATATTCTTACAGTATTCCCAGGGGTTTTGTTAAGTGCTGCAGAGTCAGTTCTGACTCATAGCGACCCTGTATAGGGTTTCTAAGGCTGGTTTGAACCACCAAACTTGTAGTTAACAGTCCAGTGCTTAAATAACCCTTTTAAAATTTTGTTTCCAATTCTTTCATTTTTTTTCTATAACCAAAAAAGCAATTGCATGATTTCAAGGGACAATGATAAATTATGGAAAAGTGTGGAAAATTTCCCACCACTTATGTACTATATAAGGAGCCCCGGTGGTGCAGTGGTTAAGTGCCCAGTTGCTAAGATTGGCGGTTTGAACCCACCAGCCATTCCCAAGGAGAAAGATACAGCAGTCTGTTTCCATAGAAATTTACATCTTAGAAACCATCTGGGGCAGCTCTACTCTGTCCTACAGGGTTACTATGAGTTGAATCGACTTGAAGGCAGTAAGTTTTTTATTTTTTTTTCTTCAACTATTCATTTTTTTAAAAAAATTTTTTATTGTGAATTATGTGGATTTACATGGGAGAACATCAGTTTTACATTCATTCTATCATATTTTGTTTCATTGCAATGATTACAATCCCCTCCATGCATCATCAAACAACCCAAGGGTACACCCTGCAAACCTGCCCCCCGGCCGTCAGCACACAGCCCTTCTCCCTCCCTGAGTCCAGAGTCCCCAACTGCTCCATCTCTCCACGTCATTGTCTCTGCCTCCATTTCTGGCATCACTGCTTCTCTGGGTAGGGTCCCACACTCTGCTCTTCTCACTTGATGGTACCAGGGATCTCCACTCCTGGACTGCAAAATCAACCACTCCCCTCCTTTTGTTATGAAACATCTACTTTTACATTTCTGACCCTCACAATCAGTCCTGATAGCAATTATTCACTATGGTACCACAAGACTCTTATCCCCATTTCCTTGACCCAACAGATTGGAAACCATTCAGTGGAGATTCTACCTTACCCCGCCTCATCTGAAACCAGGGTAAGTTGGTTTTTTTGTGTCTTGACTAAACAAGAATTTCTCTTAAAACTATCCTAGTTAATTTTCTTTTAATGGATTTTGAAAATTTTCAAATGTTAAGTGCCTTCGAATAGATTCTGACTCACAGTAACTCTGTATAGTGCTTCCGAGGAGCAGCTGTTAAGTTTGAATCACCATCCTTGCAGTTCAAACCGACCTTGAATGCTTATCCTAAGGCACCATTTTCTCTTAAAACCATCCCACTTAATTTTCTTTTAACTGTTTATTAAGAAAAATTTCAAATAGTTACCAAAAAAGTGTTTTTCAAAAGAGCTATAATTAAGGACCAGTTTATTTCCAATGCATCACTAAGACCAAAACTTACATGGTGGTGTAGCAACATCAAGTTGTAAAGTCAATTTCTGGACTTATTACAGATGAGTTAGAGTTTGTGGACCAGCCTATGAGCACCATTTGCCCATTACCCAATTTAGGCAATTATCAACAATTACAAATTGAAATATGATGAATAACACCAGAATATCATCAGATATAGTGCCGGAAAAGGATGCATATAAATATAGAGTTGAGCGCCCTTAGGTTAGGTTGCAAAGCATTAAAACACGATTGGGTAAGAGCTGCCTCCTCAAAGTAGATTTGTCCATGATGATGTGAATGGAGTAAAGCTTTTGGGACCATCTTTTGCTGATGGGGCACAGTACAAAATGAAGAGCCATCAGCTGTAGATATCCATAATAACTGAAACATGGAATGTATGAGTTATGACTATGAAAGTTGTAACTTGTCAAAAATGAAATAGAACACATAAAGATTGTTATCCTAGGCATCTGTGAATTAAAATGGACTGGTATTGGCCAATTAGAATTTGACTATCAGATGGTTACTATGCTGTGAATAACACATTGAACAGTAGTTGTGTGACATTCATCATCAAGAGGAGCCTTTTAAGAGCTATCCTTAAGTCTAATGCTGTCTGTGATAGAATACTATCCATAAGCCTACAAGGCAGATCCATTAATGTCACCATTATTCAGATTTATGCACCAACAACTAAAATCAGTGATGAAATTGATGAATCTTATGAACTTTAGTCTGAAATTGATCAAACATGCAATCAAGATGTATTGATAATTACTGGTGATTGGAAACAAAGAGAAAAGATCAGCTGTTGGAAAATATGGCTTTGGTGATAGAAACGATGCTGGATATCACATGATAGAATTTTGCAAGACCAATGACTTCTTCACTGCAAGTACCTTTTTTTAAACAACATAAAAGATAACTCTGCACATGGACATCACCAGATGAAATAAACAGAAATCAGATTGACTACATCTGTGGGCAATGATGGTAAAGAAGCTCCAGAGCAGCCAAAACAAGGCCAGGGGCAGACGGTGGAAAAAGACCATTAATTGCTCATATGCAAGTTCAGGCTGAAGCTGAAGAAAATGAAAACAAGTCCATGAGAGTCAAAATTTGACCTTGAACATATCCTACCAGAATTTAGAGATCATCTCAAGAACAGATTTTATGCAGTAGTGATTGAAGACCAGAAGAGTTGTGGGATGACATCAAGAACATTGTACAAGATGGAGACAGACATAAGGACATGGAGAAATAGAGCAGCTGAGGACTCTAGACTCATGGAAAGAGAAAGGCTGTGTGCTTGCAGCTAGGAGGCAGGCTTGCAGAATGTGCCCTTTGGTTGTTTAAATGATTATATATTCCTGAATGTTTCTGTGTATATCCAAAAAACAAAAACAAAAATGGAATAGAAGTAAATACTGTTGAATGGTGATGCACGGAGGACACTGTAATCATTGCAATGAAACGATGAGTGTAAAACCAATGTTGTCCCATGTAAACTATCATTCAATTCACACACACACACACAGAACATCAAACAAGAAGAAAGCAAGAGACCATGAGGAAGATAAGAAAGGGTGTTTGCAACCGCTGCTACGTTGTCATCACTCTTTAAGGCCAGTTCTGCCTCTAGCTGGTTGAGCTCCAGTTGAAGAAGATGGGTAAGTGAGGCGGTTGCTAGACCACGGCTCTTACAAAGCAGACTGCCAGCAAACCAACCGGTGGGAAAGCGCACAGGATACAACTGGCTGCAAAAGTCACCAGTAGGAGTGCTCCTTCTACTGGAGGGGTGAAGGAACTTCACCGTTACCTGCCTGGTACTGAGGCGCTTGGTAAAATTAGACGTTATCAGGAGTGCACTGAACTTCTGATTCATAAACTTCTCATCCAGTGTCTGGTGCGAGAAATTGTTCAGGACTTCAAAATAGATCTGCGCTTCCAGAGTGCAGCTTTTGGCGCTGTAAGGGAGGCCTATCTGTTTGGCCTTTTTGAGGATACCAACCTGTTTTACTATTCATGCCAAACGTGTAACAA